TGTTGTAGCTACAGTATTGTTGAAAAGCCCACGGTTTTGTTTGTAGTTTACATATTTTTTGCACCCAAAGGGAAAAATTGTTTGTAGAAACAGTTTTTGTTGGGCCACCCAGGGGTATTGTTGTAGCTACAGTTTTCCCTTGCAGCCCCGGTATTGTTCCCAACCCCGGTATTGTTTGTACCCTACAGAAATTTTTTGAAAGCCACGGTATTTTTTGACTCCTAAGTTTGCAAAAGCCACTTTATTGTTGTAGCAACGGGTTTTGTTCCCAGCCACGGAATTGTTGCAACCAGGGTATTTTGTAGCTACAGTATTGTTGCAGCCCCCGGTATTGTTGTAGCTACAGTATTTTTCAACCACGGTATTGTTCCCAACCACGGTTGTTTTTTAAAAACCACGGTTTTGTTGTAGCAAACGTATTTTTTTGAAAACCCCCGGAAATTTGTTTGCAACCCCCGGTGTTGTTGAAAAACCACGGTGTTTTTTGTAGCACAGTATTGTTGCGGGCCACGGTATTGTTGAAACCCACGGTGTTGTTGTACCCAAACGGTATTGTTGTACCACAGGTATTTTGTATCCACTGTATTGTTGTAGCCCCCGGAAATTGTTGTAGCCACGGTATTGTTGTAGCCACGGTATTGTTGTAGCTACAGAAATTGTTGTAGCCATTTTTTATTGTTGTAGCCAAGGGATTGTTTTTACCCAAACGGTTTTGTTGTAGCCACGGTATTTTTGTAGCCACGGTATTGTTGTACCCACGGTTTTGTTGTAGCTACAGTATTGTTGTGCCCCCGGTTTATTTTTTTGCTACAGTATTTTTTTAGCCACGGAAATTGTTGTAGCTACAGTATTGTTTGCAGCCACGGTATTGTTGTGCTACAGAAAATTTTTTACAGCCAGGGTTTAATTGTTGTACTACAGTTTTTGTTGCACCCAGGGGTATTTTTTGACTACAGTTTTGGGTTGTAGCCACGGTATTTTTGAGCTACAGTATTGTTACAGCCACGGGTATTGTTGTAGCTACAGTATTGTTGTAGCCCCCGGTATTTTTTGTAGCTACAGTATTTTTTTGTAGCCCCGGTATTGTTGTACCCCAAACATTTATTGTTACACCCCAGGGTATTGTTGTAGCTACGTATTGTTGCACCCCCCGGTTTTTGTTGTAGGCCACGGTATTGTTGTAGCCACGGTTTTGTTGTAGCCACGGTTTTGTTGAAAGCCAGGGGTATTGTTGCAGCCAGGGGTTTGTTGTACCCAGGGTATTTTTGGGTGCCACGGTTTTTGTTGTACTACAGTATTGTTGTAGTACAGTATTTTTTAAAAGCCACGGTTTTGTTGTAGCTCCCAGTATTGTTACACCCCACGGTTTTGGTTTGTAGCTACAGTATTGTTACAGCCACGGTTTTTGGTTGTGGGGCTACAGTATTGTTCAGCCACGGGAAATTGTTGTAGCACAGAAAATTTTTTTACAGCCCCCGGAAATTTTTTTGTAGCTGCAATTGTTACAGCCACGGTATTTTGTACCCTACAGTAATTTGTTCCCAGCCACGGTATTTTTTGTAGTACAGAAATTTGTTCCCAAGCCACCGGTATTGTTCCCAACCCGGTTTTTTTAAAGCCACGGAAATTGTTGTACCCACGGTATTGTTGACCAAACGGTATGTTGTAGCCACGGTATTGTTTAGAACAGTATTGTTGCAGCCCGGTTATTGTTGTTGAAACAGTATTTTTTGAAAGCTACATTTTGTTGTACCCTAAAAGTATTGTTGCACCCCACGGTATTGTTGAAACTACAGGATTGTTGCAGCCAGGGAAATTTTTTAAAAAACGGGTATTGTTGTAGCAAACAGTATTGTTGGCAGCCCCCGGAAATTGTTTTTTCCCCTACAGTTTGTTGTCGCCACGGTTTTGGTTGTAGCCAGGGGTATTTTTTGTTGCTACAGTTTTGGGTTGCGCCCCGGTATTTTTGTACCCCACGGAATTGTTGTGGGGCCACGGTATTGTTTTTACCCAGGGTATTTTTGGTAGCCACGGAAATTGTTTTGTAGCTCCCGTATTTTTTGCGGGCCAGGGTATTGTTGTAGCTACGTATTTTTTTTACAGCCAGGGGTATTGTTTTTTTAGCTACATGTTGTTCCCCAGCCAGGGGTATTGTTGTAGCTACAAAATTTGTTGTAGCCAGGGGTTATTGTTGTACACAGTTTTTGGTTCAGCCACGGTATTTTGTTGTTACTACAGTTTTGTTGTAGCCCGGAAATTGTTGTACCCTCGTATTGTTGTAGCCACGGTTTTGTTTGTACCCTACAGTATTTTTTACGCCACGGAAATTTTTTGAAAGGTACAGAAATTGGTTGCAGCCACGGTTTTTTGGTTTGTACCCCCGGTATTGTTTAGCCACGGGTATTGTTGTACCCACGGTATTGTTGCAGCCACGGTATTTTTCCCAAAGCCACGGAAAATTGTTTTTGGGCCCCGGTATTGTTTTAGCCACGGTATTGTTGTGGGCTACAGTTATTGTTGTAGTTTACAGTATTGTTCCCGCCTCGGTATTTTGGTTGCGCTACAGTATTGTTACAGCCAGGGTTTATTGTTTGTAGTTTTCCCCGTTTTTTTTTTATCAGCCACGGATTTTTTGTGGGCCTAAAGTATTGTTCCCAAGCCACGGTATTTTTTGAAAGCTACAGTATTTTTAAACGCCACGGTATTGTTGTAGCTGCGGGTTATTGTTACGCCAGGGAAAAATTGTTTTTTAGCAACAGTATTGTTACACCCCGGGTTATTTTTTGTAGCTACATATTTTTTGCACCCACGGTATTTTTTCAACCCCCGGTGTTGTTATGGGCCAAAACGGAAATTGTTGAAAGCCAGGGAAATTGTTGTAGCCACTGAAATTGTTGTAGCCACGGATTTTTTGTAGCTACAGATTTTTTGCAGCCACGGATTTGTTGTAGCTACGGGTATTGTTGTAGCTAAAAGTATTGTTGTACCCCTACATTTATTTTTTCCCAGCCAGGGTTTATTGTTGTAGCTACAGTATTTTTGCAGCCAGGGTATTTTTTTTTGTAGCTACAGAAATTGTTTTTTAAGCACGTATTTTTTTCCCAGCCCCCGGTTTTGTTTTAGCTACGTATTGTTGCCCGCCCGGTTTTGGGTTTTTCCCCAGGGGTATTTTTGTGGGTTTACAGTATTTTTTAAAGGCCACGGTATTTTTTGTAGCCAGGGTTATTGTTGTAGCCCACGGTATTTTTGTACCCCAGGTTTAATTGTTGTGGCCACGGTATTATTGTAGCTACAGTATTTTTTTGCAGCCCCCGGTATTGTTGTAGTTTCGTTTTGTTTTTACCCTACAGAAATTGTTGCAGCCAGGGTTTATTGTTGAAAGTTTACAGAATTGTTGAACCCACAGTATTTTTTCCCAGCCAGGGTATTTTTGTAGCCACGGAAATTGTTGTAGCCACGGTTTTTGTTTGTAGCCACGGAAATTGTTGTAGCCACGGTTATGTTGTGGGCTAAAAAGAAATTTTTTAACAGCCACGGTATTGTTGTAGCTACAGTATTGTTACACCCACGTATTGTTGAAAGCTAAAAAGTTTTTGTTGCAGCCACGGTATTGTTGTAGCAAACATTTGTTTTTTGCAACCAAGGGAAATTGTTGTACCCCTCGGGAAATTGGGTTGCACCCAACGGTATTTTTTGTACCCTACGTATTGTTACAGCCACGGTATTGTTGTTGCTACAGTTTTGTTGCAACCACCGGTATTGTTTAGCTTACAGAAATTTTTTCCCAGCCCACTGGTATTGTTGAAGCACAGTTTGTTTCCCACCCCGGGTTATTTTTGGGTAGCTACTTGTTGTTCCCCGCCACGGAATTTTTGTACCCCTACAGAGTTTGTTGCACCCCACGGTATTGTTGAAACCCTACAGTATTGTTCCCCCCCACGGTTTTGTTGTAACACAGTGTTGTTGCAGCCACGGATTGTTGTACCCTACAGGGTTGTTGCACCCCCACGGAAATTGTTGTAGTTTAACAGTATTTTGCAGCCACGGTTTTGTTGTAGCTACAGTGTTTTTTCCCACCCCAGGGAAAATTGTTGCAACCAGGGTTTTGGTTGTAGCTCAGTTTTGGGTTGCAGCCAGGGATTGTTGTACTCCCAGTATTGTTACGGGCCACGGTATTGTTGTGACAGTATTGTTGCACCCAGGGTATTGTTGTAGCTACGTTTGTTGCAGCCACGGTATTTTTTTGTAGCTCAGTTTTGTTGAAAGCCCGGTATTTTTTGTGCTACAGTGTTTTTGCAGCCAGGGTTTTTTGCAGCCACGGTATTGTTTTTAGCTACGTGTTTTGCAGCCCGGTATTGTTGCAGCCACGGTATTGTTGTGTACAGTTTGTTGCACCCACGGTATTGTTGCAGCCACGGTATTGTTTAGTACAGTGTTTTGCAGCCCGGTATTGTTGCAGCCACGGTATTGTTGTCGTACAGTGTTGTTGCAGCTAGGGTATTGTTGTAGCTACGTTTGTTGCAGCCAGGGTATTGTTGTAGTAAGTGTTGTTGCGCCCGGTATTGTTCAACCCGGTGTTGTTGTAGCACAATATTGTTGCAGCCACGGATTTTGTAGCTACAGTGTTGTTCACCCCGGTATTGTTGTAGTACAGGTTGTTGGCCAGGGTTTTTGTTGTGCTACAGTGTTGTTGAAACCACGGTATTTTTTGTAGCTACGTGTTGTTGCGCCCCGGTATTGTTGTAGCTACAGTGTTGTTGCAACCACGGTATTTTTGCCCCACTTATTTTTTGCTACAAAATTGTTGAAAGCCACGGGTTGTTGTAGCTACAGTATTTTTGCAGCCAGGGGTATTTTTGTAGCTGCAATATTGTTGAAAACCAGGGTTTTGTTGTGCTGCAATTTTTGCAAACCAGGTATTGTTGTAGCTACAGTATTGTTGCAACCACGGTATTGTTGTAGCTACAGTATTGTTGCAACCACGGTATTATTGTAACTACAGTATTGTTGCAACCACGGTATTGTTGTAGCTGCAATATTGTTGCAACCACGGTATTATTGTAGCTACAGTATTGTTGCAGCCACGGTATTGTTGCAACCACGGTGTTGTTGTAGCTACAGTATTGTTGCAGCCACGGTGTTGTTGCAACCACGGTGTTGTTGTAGCTACAGTATAGTTGCAGCCACGGTGTTGTTGCAACCACGGTGTTGTTGTAGCTACAGTATTGTTGCAACTACGGTATTGTTGTAGCTACAGCATTGTTACAGCCACTGTATCGTTGCAGCCACTGTATCGTTGCAGCCACTGTATCGTTGTAGCCACTGTATCGTTGCAGCCACTGTATCGTTGCAGCCACAGTATTGTTGCTACCCTGGCATAATGACTCTCATTCTTGCAACATTAAACACTCGTCAAACATTCCTAAACATACACGAAGATGCTTATAGCAAACATTGTATTGACACAATAACTTTTACCCGTTACCAGATAACGCTAAATCCGTAGGGGTAGTTCATAGCCTGGGGAATAGAAGGCAATCAGGTTTGATCCGAGGTAGTGGAGGGTAGCTCTAATCCCTTGGAGCAAGAATCCTTCATCTGCATGAAGATGCCGCAATAAATTGGAGAATACTAGGCTGTGTGGAATGCAATCATGACATCTTCTTAGCTAGAAGGAACACGGGGCCCAGGAGCTAGAAGGAACATGGGGCCCAGGAGCTAGAAGGAACACGCGGCCCAGGAGCTAGAAGAAACACGGGGCCCAGGAACTAGAAGGGACACGGGGTTCAGGAGTTAGAATGAACACAGGGCCCAGGAGGCAGATGGAACACGGGGCTCAGGAGTTAGAAGGAACACGGGGCCCAGGAGCTAGAAGGGACACGGAGCTTAGGAGCTAGAAGGAACACGGAGCCCAAGAGCTTGAAAGCGCACAGGGCCCAAGATTTTGAAAGAGCACAAGGCCCAAGAGCTAGGAGAAGCACAAGGCACAAGACCTAGAAGGAGCACTGGGCCCAAGAGTTAGGAGGAGCACTGGGCCCAAGAGCTCGGATGGGCACAGGGCTCTAGAGCTAGAGGAAACAAGTGCACAGTATCAGAGGTATTCCTCACCACCAGGACTCACATAGTTCCAAAACAAAGTGTTTCCAGTCATTCAGGTGTCGACACTAAGACTGGGGACTCCTGCATCAAGGAGACTAATATCCCCGTGTAGGGAGGGACGTAAGGTATATGCGTACCCTGGCGAGCACGGTAAACCTTGCCAGGCTTGTCAAGTACCACTTAAAAACTGTCATAGTTTACAGTATAGTTACTAAACACCGACTACACTAACATGAAAATAAAAAAAAATAGCATTTGTATGCAGAAATCTTGTAAACACCCTTAAGAATACATGCATGTATACATATGAATAATTCTAAACTACATGTATAAATAGTACCAAGTGTTCCATAGATGAAGGCAGGTTCCCGTGGGGAAAAATTCTATATTATACTAGATTTCTCTCTCCAAAAAATACTATATGAATGTAGCAATCTCTCGCCATCTGAGGCCTATTTTTATGACACGAAAATATTTGTTGGTTTAAAGCCTATCGACTGCATGGTGATCATTAAGGCTGCAGTTCACCAGAACACTAACATCCCGTCTCTAGGTACGAAGAGAACTAGATGTGAAGAATTAGACACATGTGCAACATCTGGATATCTTTATAGGTGCAGAGCACCGTGGTCAAGACTACGGTGCTCTACATCAACTCCAAGGCTGAGGGACTCATTACTTTATCTTTTGTATATAGTTCTATATTCTTCAGATTATGTCCTTGTATTGTATTAATAAAGCCACTGGATGGCGAAACGTCTACAAACAGATATCCAGATTTTGCACATGTGTCTAATTCTTCATACTGTGGGTATTGTATACCACGTATATACAGAACTACACAAGTTTCTGTGGCTGCACTATCCAATGCAGGTATTTTCCTAAGTCACACGAGCCAGTCCCTTTCTCTTCGTTTTTAACACGCCGGCTGTATCCCACCGAGGCAGGGTGACCTAAAAAAAACGAAAGTTTTTCTTTGAAATTTAGCAATTTATACAGGAGAAGGGGTTACTAGCCCCTTGCTCCCGGCATTTTAGTCGCCTCTTACGACACGCGTAACTTACAGTGGAAGAATTCTTGACGATTCAGTCCTCTCTGCCTTAATATTAGCAAGCAGCATCCAATTAGTTGTAAACATGACTCACGAAATCGTAATGACACGATCTGGAGTTTTGAGACTCTCTGATCGCGGGTTCAAATCCCGCCCGTGGTATGGTAAGTAGTTGTACGTCAAAGGTTTCAAGAAACACAGAAACCACAAGTCAACTCTCTCTGGTGTTGAAGATCACTGGTACTGAACACCTGCTTCGAGGCTGAGGGACTGATTACCTCATCTTCTACCTCTCCAGTCTTCTGTATTGTACTGATAAAGCCGCTGGTTGGCGAAACGTCTACATAGTAAAGATACCCAGATGTTACACATGTGTCTAAGTCATCCCTCTGGTGTTATTACAATGGAACCATTTTCTGTTAAAAGTATTATTGTCTCCTGCCCTCCGCCTCAACCAGGGGTCAGCGTCCCCTAGGCCTAGTCTGTTACCAGGCCTAGGTCTGGTCTGTGACCAGGCCTCGCGGGTAATGTGACTTTATGAACAAAATTCGATACATTAGCAGTGTGCTGCTACCCTATTCTATGTGATAATTATATAGTGGGTACAAAAGCTAGCTATGCTTCCCTGTTATATTCCATTATATACGATGGAGCTCATATAAGGTGTTAAAATGTTAGCCTAAGCTACTTTCAGAATAATTACTTTACTGGGTTGAATTGTAACTCCTGACTCTCTCCATTAAGTCTCATAATGGAGTTAAGCTGCAGCCCCTTCGCTTGTATAAGATGAAGAATTAGAAACATGTGTAACATCTGGGTATTTTTACTAGTAGACGTTTCATCATCTAGCGGCTTTATCAACACAAATCCAAAGACGTAATGGGAAAACTGTAGAGCTGTATACAAAAGAGGTAATTTGTCCTTCAACCTTGGAGCTGAAGGACTACGGTACTCTTCACCAGCTCTAAGGCTGAGGGACTGATTACCTCGTCTTCTGTATATTGTTCTACAGTCTTTCCCTTATGGCCTTGTATTGTACTGATAAAGCCAGATGGCGCAACGTCTACCAATAAAGACACCCAGATGTTGCACATGTATCCAATTCTTCAGTTTCTCTGCTTTTTGAGAGGTACAGGTACTCGGCCTCTTGCATGTGTTGAGGTAAAGGGAGCTTCAGTGATGGCGTACACGGGATGATGCAGTCATGGAAACACAAGCAGTTATATGACAAGTATTAGGCTAAACAATATTTTCTTAGTAACAGCATCAGAGGAACAAACATACAGGAATATTACTCCAGAATGATGGTACGTTCACTAAATGTGTGAAGATTGGATTGAGGTTCTCCACGACGACTGGTTGAGTCCACAGACGATTAGATCCCGTGAAAGTTAGGTGACGGTGAGATCCCATCCAGGAATATGGGTATGACACATCCGTGGCGAGGCAGGCAGTGGCACTTGTGAAAGGCTTTTTCAGGGTAGGAGAAAAGAGGGAGAGTTATAAGCTTGTGAATTACGTGTAGGAACTCTCATCTTTAATCCTGTATCACCCTTAAATACAAGATAGACACATGGATACATATAGATGACCTAGGTGAGTGTGTGCCACTGTTTGACGTGCTGGCGGGGCTGAGAGAGCATCAGGTTCCAGTGGTCCAAAGCTTTCCCGCGGGAGAACATGAAGGATCCCAGCTGAACGCGGCCCACAACGTTATCTGAGAACACAGAGAGAAAGAGAATGAAAGAGCTCCGCTAAACGCAGCCCACAACGTTATCTGAGAACAGACAGACAGAAAAAAGAGAGATAAAGAGATAGAGAGTATGAAAGAGCCCAGTTGCAAGCGGCTGACAACATTCTTAGTGAACACTGAAAACATTAAAGAACTCAGCTGAAAATTACAGCACATTTCGGTCGGTCCTCAACTATTATTAAGTCCTGAATATTTGAGTAAAATATTCCAGGGCTTAGTTAGCCAGGAAAGGCCCAAGACCGACCGAAAAGTGGATTTTTCTTCTTCAGTTTGTGGGTTAATTACTGTGGCTATGGCATTCTAAAAGAGAGGTACACTTGGAAACAAGAGTTAGATAAGAGAAGCCAGAGAGGACATCTGGAATTCTTCAGAAGAGCTACAGATGACACCTGGAATCCTTCAGAACTATAGTGGACACCTGGAGCCCTTCAGAAGAGCTACAGAGGACACCTGGAGTCCTTCAGAACTATAGACTACACCTGGAATGCTTCAGAAAAGCCACAGAGGACACCTGGAGTCCTCCAGAACTACAGAGGACACCTGGAGTCCTCCAGAAGAGCTACAGATGACACCTGGAGTCCTTCAGAAGAGCCACAGAAGACACCTAGAGTCTTTCAGAAGAGCCACAGAGGACATCTGGAGTCCCTACTTACCTGCCTTCTTGCCGACGGTTACTAGGACACTGATGGCCGTGGTGTCCAGGGCGTCTTGAGCGACCTTGAAGTGGAAACTCTCGTTGAAGGAGGGAGAGTCAGTGCCCCTCACCACACCTGTCTTCTTGCTCTTGGTCACCTGTACACGCAACACATTGCTTAGTCACCTGTACACGCAACACATTACTTTGTCACCTGTACACGCAACACATTACTTGGTGACTTGTGCACGCAACACATTACTTAGATGTCCACACAACACATCAGTGGTCACAACTACGGTCTATGAAGAATAATTCACAGTACAGTGACTGCAGCAAGTCACAACTCTCCCTCAGTTTGGAAGAGGAAATTCTAGACTAGATTTGGGACCAATCTGGACCGTTCTGGACCTTTCTGAACCGTTCTGGACAATTTTCAAATAACAAATGACACTTGATTGAGGTCAGGGTCTCCAAACTGAGGGAGACTTTGAAAGCTGAGCTCTATCTCTTCACGCTCGGTAACACAAATGAACCTGGCAAGTGAGTAAACTTAGGTTCAGCTAAGGGGTTCACGCACCACAGACCACACTTAAAATAAAAGCTAGAGATAAATTCAATATGCTAAAAAATAGTAGAATTCCAAGCGCTTTCGTGATTTCTCACATTATCAAAGAACTAAAATATATAGAGATATATAGATTCCTTGCTATATCCTGAAACTGACCTTTGTCTGCTGCATCAGAGCTATCTGGTGGCCCAGTGGCCTGGCTGGCAAAGTTCTCACTTTACACGCGGAGGGCCCGGGTTTGATTCCCGGCGGGGTGGAAACATTTCGACGCGTTTCCTTACACCTGTTGTTCTGTTCACCTAGCAGCAAATAGGTATCTGGGTATTACTCGACTGGTGTGGGTGGCAGCCTGGGGGACAAGATTGAGAGCCTCAATGGAAATAAGACAGACAGTCCGTGATGACGCACTGACTTTCCTGGGTTATCCTGGATGGCTAACCCTCCGGGGTTAAAAATCCGAACGAAACCTTATCTTATGTTAACTGACCTTTGTCTGCTGCATCAGAGCTATCCTGGCCTGGACCTGACCTTTGTCTGCTGCATCAGTGTTATCCTGGCCTGGACCTGACCTTTGTCTGCTGCATCAGAGCTATCCTGGCCTGGAATTGACCTTTGTCTGCTGCATCAGAGCAATCCTGACCTGGAACTGACCTTTGTCTGCTGCATCAGACCAATCCTGGCCTGGAACTGACCTTTGTCTGCTGCATCAAAGCAATCCTGGCCTGGAACTGACCTTTGTCTGCTGCATCAGACCAATCCTGGCCTGGAACTGACCTTTGTCTGCTGCATCAAAACAATCCTGGCCTGGAACTGACCCTTGTCTGCTGCATCAAAGCAATCCTGGCCTGGAACTGACCTTTGTCTGCTGCATCAGAGCAATCCTGGCCTGGAACTGACCTTTGTCTGCTGCATCAAAGCAATCCTGGCCTGGAACTGACCTTTGTCTGCTGCATCAAAGCAATCCTGGCCTGGAACTGACCTTTGCCTGCTGCATCAGAGCAATCCTGGCCTGGAACTGACCTTTGTCTGCTGCATCAGACCAATCCTGGCCTGGAACTGACCTTTGTCTGCTGCATCAAAGCAATCCTGGCCTGAAACTGACCTTTGTCTGCTGCATCAAAGCAATCCTGGCCTGGAACTGACCTTTGCCTGCTGCATCAGAGCAATCCTGGCCTGGAACTGACCTTTGTCTGCTGTATCAGAGCAATCCTGGCCTGGAACTGACCTTTGCCTGCTGCATCAGAGCAATCCTGGCCTGGAATTGACCTTTGTCTGCTGCATCAAAGCAATCCTGGCCTGGAACTGACCTTTGTCTGCTGCATCAGAGCAATCCTGGCCTGGAACTGACCTTTGTCTGCTGCATCAGAGCAATACTGACCTGGAACTGACCTTTGTCTGCTGCAGCAGACCAATCCTGGCCTGGAACTGACCTTTGTCTGCTGCATCAGAGCAATCCTGACCTGGAACTGACCTTTGTCTGCTGCAGCAGACCAATCCTGGCCTGGAACTGACCTTTGTCTGCTGCATCAAAGCAATCCTGGCCTGGAACTGACCTTTGTCTGCTGCATCAGACCAATCCTGGCCTGGAACTGACCTTTGTCTGCTGCATCAAAGCAATCCTGGCCTGGAACTGACCTTTGTCTGCTGCATCAAAGCAATCCTGGCCTGGAACTGACCTTTGTCTGCTGCATCAGAGCAATCCTGGCCTGGAACTGACCTTTGTCTGCTGCATCAGAGCAATCCTGGCCTGGAACTGACCTTTGTCTGCTGCATCAGAGCAATCCTGGCCTGGAACTGACCTTTGCCTGCTGCATCAGAGCAATCCTGGCCTGGAACTGACCTTTGTCTGCTGCATCAAAGGAATCCTGGCCTGGAACTGACCTTTGCCTGCTGCATCAGAGCAATCCTGGCCTGGAACTGACCCTTGTCTGCTGCATCAAAGGAATCCTGGCCTGGAACTGACCTTTGTCTGCTGCATCAGAGCAATCCTGGCCTGGAACTGACCTTTGTCTGCTGCATCAGAGCAATCCTGGCCTGGAACTGACCTTTGTCTGCTGCATCAGAGCAATCCTGGCCTGGAACTGACCTTTGTCTGCTGCATCAGAGCAATCCTGGCCTGGAACTGACCTTTGTCTGCTGCATCAGAGCAATCCTGGCCTGGAACTGACCTTTGTCTGCTGCATCAGAGCAATCCTGGCCTGGAACTGACCTTTGTCGCTGCATCAGAGCAATCCTGGCCTGGAACTGACCTTTGTCTGCTGCATCAGAGCAATCCTGGCCTGGAACTGACCTTTGTCTGCTGCATCAGAGCAATCCTGGCCTGGAACTCATTTTTCTCCTGCCGTAGTTCCTTGTCGACCTGGAATGATGAATACCGTGAATCATCATATCTCCTCACAAACACTGAAAGTTTCAATACGACCCGAAGATTCATTCTCGAGCATCACATGAAAACCAGTAATCTTCAATTTTTTAAATGTTAAAAATTTACAAATTTATGCCTAGACGGCCTAAGACTGGTGTATATTTTCGTTTGGTTAGATGCATCCGCATAGAAAGCTTCAAGCCGATCAGGTGAGGCGTTCTCGAATCAAGGCACGGAAACCACTGCGTTGTTTCAATCTATATAAGTGGCAGACTGGCACCTGTATAAGTGGCAGACTGGTACCTATATAAGTGGCAGACTGGTACCTATATAAATGGCAGACTGGTACCTATATAAGTGGCAGACTGGTACCTATTAAGTGGCAGACTGGTACCTATATAAGTGGCAGACTGGTACCTATATAGGTGGCAGACTGGTACCTATATAAGTGGCAGACTGGTACCTATATAAGTGGCAGACTGGTACCTATATAAGTGGCAGACTGGTACCTATATAAGTGGCAGACTGGTACCTATATAAGTGGCAGACTGGTACTATATAAGTGGCAGACTGGTACCTATATAAGTGGCAGACTGGTACCTATATAAGTGGCAGACTGGTACCTTATAAGTGGCAGACTGGTACCTATATAAGTGGCAGACTGGTACCTATATAAGTGGCAGACTGGTACCTATATAAGTGGCAGACTGGTACCTATATAAGTGGCAGACTGGTACCTATATAAGTGGCAGACTGGTACCTATATAAGTGGCAGACTGGTACCTATATAAGTGGCAGACTGGTACCTATATAAGTGGCAGACTGGTACCTATATAAGTGGCAGACTGGTACCTATTATAGTGGCAGACTGGGTACCTATATAAGTGGCAGACTGGTACCTATATAAGTGGCAGACTGGTACCTATATAAGTGGCAGACTGGTACTTATATAAGTGGCAGACTGGTACCTATATAAGTGGCAGACTGGTACCTATATAAGTGGCAGACTGGTACCTATATAAGTGGCAGACTGGTACCTATATAAGTGGCAGACTGGTACCTATATAAGTGGCAGACTGGTACCTATATAAGTGGCAGACTGGTACCTATATAAGTGGGCAGACTGGTACTTATATAAGTGGCAGACTGGTACCTATATAAGTGGCAGACTGGTACCTATATAAGTGGCAGACTGGTACCTATATAAGTGGCAGACTGGTACCTATAAAAGTGGCAGACTGGTACCTATATAAGTGGCAGACTGGTACCCATATAAGTGGCAGACTGGTACCTATATAAGTGGCAGACTGGTAGCTATATAAGTGGCAGACTGGTAGTTATATAAGTGGCAGACTAGTACCTATATAAGTGGCAGACTGGTACCTATATAAGTGGCAGACTGGTACCTATATATGTGGCAGGCTGGTACCTATATAAGTGGCAGACTGGTACCTATATAGGTGGCAGACTGGTACCTATATAAGTGGCAGGCTGGTAGCTATATAAGTGGCAGACTAGTACCTATATAAGTGGCAGACTGGTACCTATATAAGTGGCAGACTGGTACCTATATAAATGGCAGACTAGTACCTATGTAAGTGGCAGACTGGTACCTATATAAATGGCAGGCTGGTACCTATATAAGTGGCAGGCTGGTACCTATATAAGTGGCAGACTGGTACCTATATAAGTGGCAGACTGGTACCTATATAAGTGGTAGACTAGTACCTATATAAGTGGAAGACTGGTACCTATATAAGTGGCAGACTGGTACCTATATAAGTGGCAGACTGGTACCTATATAAGTGGCAGACTGGTACCTATATAAGTGGCAGACTGGTACCTATAAAGGTGGCAGACTGGTACCTATATAAGTGGCAGACTGGTACCTATATAAGTGGCAGACTGGTACCTATATAAGTGGCAGACTGGTAGCTATATAAGTGGCAGACTGGTAGTTATATAAGTAGCAGACTAGTACCTATATAAGTGGCAGACTGGTACCTATATAAGTGGCAGACTGGTACCTATATATGTGGCAGGATGGTACCTATATAAGTGGCAGACTGGTACCTATATAGGTGGCAGACTGGTACCTATATAAGTGGCAGGCTGGTAGCTATATAAGTGGCAGACTAGTATCTATATAAGTGGCAGACTGGTACCTATATAAGTGGCAGACTGGTACCTATATAAATGGCAGACTAGTACCTATGTAAGTGGCAGACTGGTACCTATATAAATGGCAGGCTGGTACCTATATAAGTGGCAGGCTGGTACCTATATAAGTGGCAGACTGGTACCTATATAAGTGGCAGACTGGTACCTATATAAGTGGTAGACTAGTACCTATATAAGTGGCAGACTGGTACCTATATATCTCAGTAGTAGTAACCAGTTACCAGTAACCAGTGTACCAGTAGATGACTCACTACCAACCGTCTCTGCCTGAGTCACTGTCTGTATTCATATTGTTGCTGACCTAGCAGGATTTCAAGCGCCCCCTCGCCCATGGGCACTCCTCAGTCAGTCTAGTCAAGGAGCAGAGAGAGGCAGGTTCGGCTGTGGCGCCCTTCCACATACTTCAGTTACAATATACGTACTTCCAGCCTACGTGAGTATTTTTACCCAATCCACGTGTTCGAACTCCCACTTGATAAATGGTGGCAGCGGTGGGATGACAGGAGACAGGCTGGATGATAGGCTGACTGGCGTTCACTTCCACAGTCTGGCTTACTGACTGGCTAACTCATGCTGTATTTGAGGCAAATCTGAATTGGAAGTTACAAATGATACTTGAGGATTTCTCAATACCTGTCGTGTACGTAGGGAATAACGACATTCAGGTTGATCGTCTGACTGAGTATCAGAGGAAGAGAGTACAGGATCAGGAGGATTGTTAGAGTCAGTCACATTAGTCTGGGTTGGAACATCATTATCATCACATACTAACTTCATATGATCTAAATGCGATTCTTTATACTGACCAGTACTAATCTCTCTAACCTTATGCTTATTACCAGTGATATGTTCAACTATTCGATAAGGACCAACAAACTTTTGATCAAGCTTTGGCATTGCAGACGTTTTGTTAAAGTTAATCAGCATAACTCTCGAACCTACTTTGATTTTGGATGGCTTTGCTCGAGTGTTTGCGACTCTTGTAAATTCTGCTGTTGATTTATGAAGTGTTTCACGGATTCTTCTAAAAACACTTTGAGCTAAGCTGGTACGAGTTGCTATGAAATCATCAGGGTTGTAATTTGGTTTCGGATTAGAATATAACAACTCATAAGGCAAACGTTTATCTACACCGTACAATGCATAATGTGGAGTGTCACCTATAGAACATTGTAAGCAGAATTTATAGCACACTGCACATCAGGTATAACTTCATCCAAGTTTCACTGTTGGGGATTGATAGTGGCTCTCAAGACATCAAGTACTTTCTTATTGGTTCGTTCCGCTAACCCATTGCTGGCAGGATGATGAGGAACAATGGTGGATTTAGAGATCTTGTACAAGGTACACAAATTTTCAAGAATCTCATTACAGAATTCACCTCCATTATCTGTTATTAGGGACTTAGGGGTGGTATGCCTGCAGATTAATGCGTTCTTTTAAACGCTTTAGCTACTGTCTCGGCAGTCTTATCTGCAATAGGAACTAACTCACAATATCTGGTGAAATGGTCTACCATAACACACAGATGTTTTGTTGCCTGTGGAGGGAAACATTGGAAATTAGTTAAAACAAATCTAGCGCAACTCTTTCCCAAGGTTCGCTAGTAGTTGGATATACTTGGATTGGATTAGGGCCATTAGCATTACCTTTATGTTGCATGCAGACACTACATTTCTTAACGTACTCAGAAATATCAGTTGCCATACGAGGCCAAAAGTATTTCAATCTGGCTTGTTTTACTGAACGATCCATACCAGGGTGTGCAACACCTGGTACATCGTAAACTAGCTGTAAGGCTACATTCACTAGTGACTGTGGAATTACTAACTGGTATACTCTTCTGCTAGGAGTACCCAACTCGGCTGTTCGATACAGTAATTCTTGGTTCATGACAAAGTCACTGATGGGTGCTGGTGGCTTCACAGTCAGAATAAGATCTTCCTGGAGCAGGAATCGAATCACACCAGACCACATGGGATCTGTTCGTTGAGCATTCTTTACATCTTCAACACTAAATGGAGGGTCTGCAGTTACTATACTAACATGTCGCGATAAGGCATCTGCGACTACATTTGACTTGCCAGGTAAATGCTCAAAGGTGGGATTGAACTCTTGGATAGTCAAGGTCCATCTGGCTAACCTTCCAGTAGGTTGTTTGTTCTGGAATAAAGGTATCAGTTCTTTCTTACTGGAGGAATGAACAAACTCGGTGGAGTGGATGACTCCCCCCGGTTGAAAAAATTAAACACGCAATATGAGCAAGGGAGAACGAATCTACTATCTCAAACTGCAAGCACAGGAGAAAAGAAATGAACACGGTGAACAATGCTGATATTCAATCTGAGTCGCACACAGTGACACGAGGTATCAGCTATGAACTTCACTTACAAACGTTAACAACGTGGAAGTTACTCGAGAAATAACTTCTTACAATGTACTGATTACTGTCAACTAGGATGGGATCACAATCTGAAACACAAGGGACAACAACAACACTCAAGTGAGCACACTAGCCACAGAAACGTCTTTCTGCAACGGCTTGTGGCATCAGCAAGAGATGGCATAACTCGTTGCAAGTAAAGTTCTTCTCAAAGCGTCCCCTGGGAAGGAACATACTTGAACAAGTCGCCATCGCAAGGATAGTAGTCGCACTATCCTGCGTGCATGATATTGTGGCTGGAGTCCAGACAGGAGTGACAGTATTACTAGTGCCTGACCGCTCGGCTACGTTAATAAGTAATTCACGGATCTATAGGAACTTAATCTGAACTTCACATTTCGCAGCACTTTAACAAATCTCAGATACAAGC